TGGCCGCACAGAGTCCTGACCTCAACCCGATAGAACACCTTTGGGATGAATTAGAGCGGAGACTGCGAGCCCGGCCTTCTCATCCAACATCAGTACCTGACCTCACAAATGGTCCAACATTCCCATAGACACACTCCTAAACCTTGTGGACGCCTTCCCAGAACAGTTGAAGCTGTTATAGAGCAAAGGGCGGGCCAAGTCAATATTGAACCCTACGGACAAAGACTGGGATGCCATTAAAGTGCATCGGGGGGAGAAGGGGAGGCGAGGAGAGGGAGAGAATTTTAATGTGAAATAAAAAAAATTTGTGCACTGAATACTATCATAATAGTGTAGTTTTGTTTTATTAAATATCAGAATAGACTGTTAGTCTCTTCTGCCACAAATGCTGCTACCTGCCTGTCAGCAATTGTTGCCTGTGCAATGAATCGCATGCCAAGATGAGTGATTTCTATGCCCATGTACGGGTGTTGCGTCATCAGGGTCCGACCAATCAAGAGGCCAAAACACACCAAATCCAGACCTGGGGAAGATAGCAGCTCCGGCGCTGGAGGGGGAGAGTGGACAGCAGTGTGGGAGGGGGGTGTCATTTTCAAGGTAGGTCGGCCATCGTGGGCTAATATGCTGTACATTTTGGCATATTATGGCACACACATGCACCAGTGCAGAAATACAGACTTCCACTGCTGGCCTCCTGAATGTAGACGGCTAAACTTTCCTGCGGAACCTCCCACTTCCATACCTGCTAAATTCCCCCCCCCCAGAATAAAAGTATGTAGATCAGGAAACGTCCTTGTCTTGTTAGTGACTCAGAGCTAAAAGAGAATTAGTAGAGTGCCAGGAAACTAGCATTTCCACAAAAGGACCAGCAATGGCAGCCATTGTCCTTAATGTTTCATAAAAGTGTAAAGCCAAAACTTTTATTGTAGTTTTGGATAGAGCAGGAATGGGATAGACCCCTATTAAGTTATTTTTTCTGCTAGGTTGGACTTGATGGACTAATGTCTTTATTCAACCTCAAATACTATGTAACTATGTACCTATGCCCTGCCTAGGATAGTTTTCCTTAATTTGGTGTCCTGAAGACACAACAGGAAATCTCCAAAGTGAACGTAATTCTTAACTGAGAGTTGCCAGAGGAACAAGTGTACCCATTGGGGGATTATCCCTTTTGACCTTTTTCTCTGGGGACAACTCAGAATTTTTGGATTAGATCACTGGACACTATACAATTTAGAAAGCCAAAATGTAACATTTAAAAAGCCATCATTTGATAACGGCTTTAACAGGCCGAGGGTTTGAAAGGACTGCCGTTTAGTTGAATACATTTTGGTTGGAGGTAAAAATGGAAGCCAATACACCTGGATATGTACGTACTGTGTTATTGCTGAACAAGGTGATATCGCCTTCATTGCCGGTATAGAAGAGGATAGGGCCCCCGGGCTTCTTCCAGTGGGTGTCAGACACCAGGTAGCGCTGTTTAAACGTGGAGTCCTCATAGAAACCGAAGTGGTCGATCTGTAGGGAACCAATAAATAGCATTGAAGTCACGTAGTAATTACAGAAATATAAAACAAAGGCACTCTGATATTTAGACCTTGGTTGACACTAACTACACTTAAGTGGAACTGAACTCAAAGACATGCAGGTTGGTTAATTGGCTCTTGCCTAAATTGGTCCTGTATGTGTGCATGTGAGATTGTAAGCTCCTTGAGGGCAGGGACTGCTGTAAATGTACAACTATGTAAGTGCTCTGTAAATTGTTGGAGCTATATAATTACCTGTAATAGTGTATTTAGACCTCAGGCACCGCAGCCTCTGACTGCTAGTCTCGGGAGACTTGGAATGAGATTTGGTGAGGTCACTATTTTACTCATGGTTCTCCTTGCTGGAGGCTCCAACATGAGGAAGCAAAGACCTGCCTCTACCAAGATAGCCAAGGTGGTCACAAAATTATATATATATATATAATTTCATTTCTTTTAGATTAGTATTTTCAGAAGACAGAGGAGATTGTTTTTTGCTTCCATTTCAACACATGGGAAATTACAAGGACACTACATTTCTGGTAAGATCAGGTATTTGCTGTACTTCCCGAAAATATTCCTAGCCTAAAAAAGAAAAATGCAGCCACATCATCTAAGGGGCTGGTATGCTTTAGTATATTGTGGTTTGAGGTTAACCGGATATGGGACAAACCTGGAGACAGTCTTTGCTGACCTTTGTTGCCTGGGTGACAATCATGCTGACCCTTTGGCTTTCATATATAAAATCTCTTGCAAAAACAGGTTTGCAGATAAGGATATATGGTCAGCAAGGCAGCCCTTGTATTTTTTTAAATGAAAGGTTTACTTTAAACATAAGCTTGAAAATACTGAGCCTGGCAGCTGGACTAAACATATCCTCATTACTGTGAGCAAGACTGAGTCAGAGAGCTGGATTCAGACACAAGTTTTAATGGACCAAAGAGAATCGAAGTGACCAAGATCATTGGTTTATCAGACACTGACAGACACTTTAACCTCTGGGTTCACTAAATGTTTTGACAGCTTCATTTCCTTAAAGAGTGACCTCAGATGTCTGACCTCTAAATTTCTTGTCTTTGTTCTTGAATGCGGTGGTGTAGAACCTTCAGTTGACCTCACTCTTCCGCTGAGGTATACTCATCGGAAGAACTTGAGCCAAACATTTTTACTATTAAAAAGTGCAGAATTTTTTTAATTTTGATGCCAACTGTTGGCAAAAGTTCAGAAACAGTCAATGAATGGGTAAAAGTCAGAATTGGTGGGAGCAAGATCAAAATTAGGTTGAAGATGTTGATCGTTGGCAACTGGAGTATGAAATTGCCATCAGATAAAAGATAACTGCCTACTGATGCATAATTGCCAGTAAAGAAGTCTGTAAACAAAGGATACCTTTAAATATCATTAAAGTTCAAGACAATGAACATGAAGCTGTTGCAGTGATGATGATGTCCATCCTGTCTGAGGAGCTTCCTCAGCTGAAGGAGATAGAGGTTACAAAAGAGGATTTCCTCACTTCACCCACGCTGTGCTTGCCAAGTACCGGGAAGGAAGAGAGATTCTCCTGTTACTGAACATACTAAAGTTGTTATGTATTAGTTGGAAGCTTGATCAGATGCAACAACATCATGAGAGCAACAGTGCCATTTAAGGTTCCACTGCCAACTGTAGGACTCCATGTCGGAGGTACTGCAGTTAGTTCAGTTTAGGAACAGGTCTGTTCAACATGTTCCTTTGTAAACGAAGGTGGTACAATCAGTGACCACAGCAAATGCATTCATCCTAGGCCTGCTTTAGTCTTTACTTTCCAACTCCAAGGATAGGAATATTGGAAGACCATAGGGGAAGCATGGCCAGCAGTGTCATACTGCCTTAGGACTGGAAACGCCAGTTGAGCATCTACATGGTGACCTCATCTGCCTACTCCTCCATGGTCTTAAATGTAGAAAATCTCTGCTCACTAGGCCTCTACCTGTTCCACAGGTACACCAGCTCAGTTAGTCCTTCATAGCATACTATCACCATACCATCACCAGAGATAAAAAGCCACCTCAAGAACTTCTTAAGGAGCATTCACACTTCCTAAAAGGGGATCTAAAGCCAATTGTTTTTGGTTAGAGTCTATTTGGAGATTCACCCACTCCAAGTATCCTGCCGACAGGACTGAAAGAGATAGATGAAAGTAGTCACTCGCACTCCATGATATTAAAGTCAATGCTGTTTATTGACTTAGCGAAGGAGATGTGTGTTACCTCAGTCAATAAACAGCATTGACATTAATATCATGGAGTGCGAGTGACTACTTTCATCTACCTACATTTCACAGAGGCATGCGTTGTCACCACGGCACCCACCCAGTTGGATTTGGGTTTTTGTCCGGTCAGGAGTGCGATGGGACAGGAGGATTAAGGACTTAAATGAGGGAAAAGCCATCATTTTGAATGGTCACCAGTACATCAAGAGAGGAAACAATCCAATGAGGACATTTGTTCCAGTGACAACTATTAAGGGGATATTCCTCATTTTGGACTTCCCACCACATTGTTATGTCTACAGGGCAGGAAATGAAGGCAAAAATGGGAAGTACAAAAGGGGGACACAAATGGCAAATTTAAAAAACACACAATTTTGGAGTGCCAAAAAATTCGTTCCCTGATGTGACTGTAGCCATCTACATCAAGTGGATGTTTTTCAACGTCAGTAAGCAACTGTGTAGTATTAAGTTGTGAATGGCACTACTCTGATTGCTATTCCAATCAATAGTCACACCAAATCGAGATTACAGTTTGGAAAAATAATAAACCCAAGTAAAATCTGCAGGATTCCTGAAGTAAAGTGTCCTGGTAGTAGCGGAACCTAGAACATCAGAGCCTACTACTTCGCCACAGTCGAATAAAAAGGAGCAGAAATCTTCCAAGGAAGACACTTAGCCTGGTACCAACTAGGCTGAATTTCCTTTTGAGGTGATGTCTACTCTGAAGGGTCTTAGGACAGGATGTGTAGGGAGACCTCCCCAATGGGGACACATACAAATTTTAGAGCACCTAACCCTTCCTGGCTCTGCAAACAAAGGTTTTGGCAAAAATTTGAATTAAAAAAACCTGCTATATCTCAACTCTGAGATGTTCAGGGTTTTAAGGCACACTGAATACACATTCCACAATGCATCATATGGTACTCTTAATTATGGACTTTCTTAGGCACCGATTTTTCCTGTACTACAACCCCCCTGAGCAGATTATGATAAGTAGCAATCTGTGCCTTCTCTGGTTAAGTTCATCACCCCTCAATGACATATTTACATTAAAAAAGGGGCACTTTTAAATGAAAGTCTACATACTACACTGTCTGGCCAAATATGGATTCAGGTAGCGTTATGATATGGTTGCTTTAGTTGGACCGGTCTAGGTTGAGCAACGTTATGTCCCCCAAAAAAAGATGAGGTCAGCTCATCTTCCCTGATGGCACATTGGGCATATCATATTCCAAGATGACAATGTCAGGATTCATCGGGCTCAGATTGTGAAAGAGTGATTCAGGGAGCATGAGACGTCATTGTCACACATGGATTGGCCACCAGAGTCCAGACCTTAACCCCATTGAGAATCGTTTGTATTTGCTGGAGAAGACTTTTCACAGAGGTCCAACTCTCCCCATCACCACTACAAGGTGCAACTCTGGACAGAAATAAAATGTTGACATTGTATAAACTTATCGAAATGCCATGGTAAATACATGCCGTAAATCAAAGCTAAAGGCGGTCCAATGAAATATTTAGCACGCGTGTGACTTTTTTGGGCCAGGCTAGTCTGCGACAAGTCTCCATAATCACATCAGCAGCAGGAGTTAAACTTCTGGCTGTCTGTTTGGGGTGTGAAATCGCTCAGGAAACATGACACTGCCCCAATCCCAGCTGGTGAAGAGATCAGGAGATCCTCTACAGATGGGACACCGCTGGAAAGTAATTAGCAGAGTTCTCCACATAAACAACTTCATTGTCTTCAGATGAGAAAACAAAGTGTGATGAGTCCCACAAGAGCTCCCATGTGGTCCCAGAACATGTCATGATCTTATAGAGGACATCTGCAGCAACACTTTTTAGGGCTCCATTGGACAGCATGGGCAGTCTCAATGCAAAAGCAAGGCAAGAAGCCTTTATTCGCTAGGGCCCGTTCACATGAACACACTGTGTGCTTTGCAATAAAAGAATGCTGGGATAATTTTATTGCAGCAAGTTACAATGCACTGCAATGCATTAAGGGAAAATAAAACACTGCCTGCAATAACTAACACACACACTTTGTTGTGCAGTGTGAAGCACCCCTAAAGCAAAGTGCAGAAGTCCCCCCTTAAATTAGTGTTGCCACCTGTCCAGGATTTACCCGGACAGTTCGGGTTTTGAATGCTGTGTTCGGGTTTCATGGCAGCAGAAACCCGGACACAAGATGTCAGGCACACAGGTGAAACCAAAATTAAGATAGGGGCTACTGGTCCCCCACTGAAAATAGTCTCAACTGTGATATTTACATATGAAGGGGTGGCGCTATTTACATATGAAAAAGCCGCAACTCATTCTTCCAAGAAAATTTCCGTGTGTCGCTAGAGTGTTCGGGTTTCGATGGAAGAAAAGGTGGCAACCCTACCTTAAATCAGTGGTCACAGTAGAAAAGGGCCCCCTTACATTGGTGGCAGTAGAGAAAGGAACCTCCTTTCACTGTTGGTCAGTGGATAAGTGCCTCCTTACATTAGTGGTTTGTAGAGAAGGGCTCACATACATTGCTGGTCAGAGAAGGGTCACCTTACGTTTTTACTGACTGACAAAGGCCTCCTTACATTGGTGGTTAGTGGATAAGACCTCATATTGGTGGTCAGTAGAGAAGGGGCCCATTACATTGACTATCAGTTGATATACACCCACTTACATTAGTGGTTAGTAGAGAAGTGCTCCCTTACATTGGTGGTCAATGAGAATGTCTGGTACATTTATTCCGAGTA